AGTCTCCAGAGTAGCTGGGATTACAGGCATGCATTACCACACCTGGCTAATTTTTGTATGTTTTAGCAGAGACTGGGTTTCACCATGTTGGCCAGGGTGGTCTTGTACTGCTGACGTCAGGTGATCCACCTGCCTCAGCCTCCCAAAGTGCTAGCATTATAGGCGTGAGCCACCACACCTAGATATAAATGTATTTCTTGTGTTTTTAATACTAAGAACACTCTTTCCTCCTCTCATTGCTCTAATAGCAGTGTGTTTTTGTAGATGCAACATCTATAGAACCTCTCTGAACATATTAGATTTTTTTAAATCACCATGTTGGCCAGGCTGGTCTTGAATTCCTAACCTCAGGTGATCCACCTGCCTTGGCCTCCCAAAGTGCTGGGATTATAGGTATGAGCCACCATGCCCGGACATGAATTTATTTCATATGTTTTTTAATAAGAAGAACACTCTTTCTGCCTCTGATTGCTCTAATAGCAGGGTGTTTTTGTAGATGCAACATCTATAGAACCTCTCTGAACATATTAGATTTTTTAAAAAAGTTATTTCCTGAATTAGCTATTTCCTCTGGGGTTTATTTTCTTTCTTTATCTTGGTCCTTCTCTTTAATGTTGCATTTCTCTCAAATGTCTGGAGATCCTTGGCTATTCATTCATATTTATAAGTGAAAGAAGGATTGGTGTATGTAATTAGCATTAGTTTTTCTGAAACTTATTTAAGTCTGTTTCTCCACTGTTCTCCTCTGAATGCAAGGTCTGATGCAATCTGTTTGCGAGTTATGGAGAGATGGTTACTGGCAAGTGTTACTTTAGGGTATGTAGGCACGGAAAAATAGAGATTCCTCTCCTCCCAGGTATTAAAAGTATGAGAAATTTACTCTTAGGATGGAAAACTAATGTATTTTCCTTCACTGCAGAGCTGCTTCTCCTGTTTCCTCTTCTTTTTATCTGTGGTAGAATTTTGCAGTTAACTCAGATTCCCCTCTGTTCCTCTCTCAGGCCCCTATACCCACAGCAAGAGCTTTCCTCAAGTTGACAGTTTACTTTCTTCAAAAAATTAGCTGGTTTTAGCTTAGAATCAAATGCATCTGCTGCCTTTTGCTCACTGTAAGGAGGAGGCTGCCCCCACTGTTTCAAAGGTAGAATTTAATTAATTTACCCTTGAAGATTACTCATGACTCTTTCCTGCTTCTTGTATATATTCTTTCAGTCCATTTTCTCTGGAGCTACTTTCATTTTCCTAGGCATCTTCCCTTACACATACTTTAAGCTGTAGTGGCTTCTTCTGCTCTGATCAATCTGACCTTATCTGCTTTCTGTCTTCCATGAATTCCTCACAATTGTTGATTTACATCATGCTTTGTTTTAGAGCATTGCTTTTAATTTGGTTTTTAAGAATGTTTTCTGAAATTAAGCAATTTGAGATAACAAGAGAGGTGGGCACATGATGATTCAGTTCACTGTCTTGATCCAATTTCCAGAGAACTCTTTCTAAGATGTTAGTTTAGATATCACATATCCAACTACATCAATCTTCTATTTAAAATTCTTCCTCAGCTCTAGTACAAAGTCCAAACTCTCTGGCCTAAGATACTGAATCCTTAACCCAACTTTTGTACATGCTGTCCGTCAGACAGGAAAGCACTGCCTTTTTCTCTCCCTGGTTTCATTACCTGATGCTTACCTAACACTAGATTATAAATCCTTGTTTACGTGTTGTGATTCATCACAAAAATTATGAAATCAAGAGCAAAGATCTTACTAGTCCTTGACTTCAAAGAACCTATCACGTAGTAGCTATTCATTTTATAAATGAGAATCAGCCATGAAAATGCCATGGAACCTTAGAGTCAGATCTCAGACCAATGAACTACAGATAACAGAATCTGGAGCTAAAAGGGACTTTAAGATTATGTTTGTTAAATGAACAAAGCTTCAAGGCCCAAAAACTCGGCAAACTTCCTTGTACTTCAGAGCAGAATAAGTAATTCCATCAAATATGACCCTATTGTACATTATTCATACTCCTCTTGCAGCCCTTATCTCCTTAGTCTGTCATTAATTTTTTTTTCTCAAGGATTAAGATAGTGCACGTTCATTTTTGTGTCACCTATACTTTGGCATAAAGAAGATACCAAGTCAATATTTAGGGTATGATGAATACATGAATGCTCAGGAGAGCAGAATTTTGTGTTGGTTTCTACTACTAAATCATTCAAAGGTAGGGAGTGAGTCACTTAATCTTTCTGAATCTTAATTTCTTAGGCAGCAATTGTATTTGGTTATTTCACAAGTGGAATCATCTGTGTGAAACCAATATGGAAAATGATGACATGCTACCACAATAAAAAACATATCCTCCATGTAAAACTAGTAAGGCTATATAGAGCACTGAGCTAGTACTGGACAAATGTTCTGAATTAGGGGAGAAAAATGTCCTTGACAGCCTTAGTGGTTTTAATTGCAGATACTAAACCAGTACAAGTTTTTACCAAGCAGGTGTTATCCTCCCTGCCATATGGCATGAACCCCAGGGCTCTTCCTCCTCAATAACAAACAACATAGCTACAGCTTTACTGCAGTCTCCTTTCTAAGACCTCAATGACATCTTCTTTCTTTGTTCTTTGCCAGAGTGAAAAGAATCCTGAACTGGGATTCAGAAGACCCCAGTTCTAATGTGGTTTTAATTATAAGTCTTCAGGAAAGTCTGTTTTTCTGCCTGTGAAATGGAGATGACAATACTTTGTACACAGGTAATTGTGATGCTAACCATGCTAACATATGTAAAGTTCTTAACACAGTGCATTGTAGGCACTCGATATTAATAGCTATCACTCTTCCTACAAAAGCATAAAGACATTTGAGACATAAAGCACAATTCAGCTTAAAGCCTCTTCTTTAATAATTTACTATTCAAAGATTTTATATTTGCAAATTCTTCCCCATCTTTTAACCACATCTCTCATTTGATGAAAGGTAGCACAAATCAGGGGAAAGCAGTATAGGCTGGGAATCAGATGCCTATTGCCATTAACTCTTTTCCATTTCAGTTTTATCATCTACAAGGATAATAACTAGCCTCAGAAAGCTTCTGTGAGGATCCAGAGTCAATAAGAAAGGATCCAAGAGGCTGCAAGGCACTGAACGTGTGAATATGGTTTTTTATAATCAATAAGTGTAAAAATGACTCAGAGTAAACCAGTCCCCTCTGCTAGAAGCATAGTTCAAAGTATTTTGATAATGACTCGGTATTGTGTTAGAACTTAACTGCTCCCCTGCTTAAGTTCTTTAAGCTTCTCATCACCTTTAAGATAAAGTCGAACTCCTACATGATCTGTCCTGCTTACCACTCCTCCTCATCACCCACCTCTACTTCCTTCACAATTCACATTCTAGTCATAACAAACTACATCGCAGTTCCTTGTACAAGTATACTTCTCAAACTTCCTTGCCCACACATATGCTATTCTCTTTCTGTGTGGAATACCTGCATTTTCCCTTAATTATTGCTCTAAATAACTAACTCATTCAGCTCAGGCTTTACCATCAGGAAGCTTTCTCTGACACATCCAACCTTTCATTCAGTAAATGTTTACCAAATGCTAAGACTTGCCAGATGCCAAGGATATAACAATTAACAAGTCAGAGACAGCCCTTGGCTTCATGAAGGTTAGCATGCTGCAATATAATTGCCTGTCTGTACCTTCAAGCACAAACAGAAATCATGAAGAATTGGCTGCTTGAGGTCTTCAACCTCAAGGCTAAGAGGTTCTTAGGTATTGGGACATATCTGACCATCTCTGTCAGATGTCACTTATTCACACCAGACTTGGCACAGTATAAACTAGGGCTTTTGCAAATGTGAAGTAATTCAATATGGCATAACCACTTATGTACAAGAGACACCATCAGATGTAAAAAATAAATAGCAACCAGGTGTGGTAGCTCATACCTGTAATCCTAACACTTCTGGAGGTCGAGGCAGGAGGATCACTTGAAGCCAGGAGTTTGAGAACACCCTGGGCAACATAACGAGAACCCCGCCTCTACCAAAATGTTTTAAAAATTAGCTAAGTGTGGTGGCTCATGCCTGTAGTCCCAGCTACTCAGAGGGCTGAGGCAGGAACATCATTTGAGCCCAGGAGTTTGAGTTTACGAGCTATGATCATACCACTGCACTCCTGCCTGGGCAACAGAGCAAAATCCCATCTCTTTAAAAAAAAAAAAAAAAAAGGCAGCATTCTCTTATATGCATCATATTTTACTATTTATAGGACCCTCATTTTATCCTTGTAATTGCCCTGGAAAATAGAATTTGTAGGTTAAGAGAGACAGAGGAACCTTTGAGATCATCTAGTTTACTTCCCAGACAATTCTTCATGATTTCTATAACATCCCTTTGAGTGTCAAAACATTCATTACAACTTCAGAGGACAGAATGAATGACCTTAAATGAATAAAATCTGCTACCTTCAACAATTAGTACTAATGTTGGTTTTGCAGATTCCATAGACCAAAGAGAGGAAATTTTCTTCTAAATGTAGGTATCTGAAGACATGTCCAGGTAAGGGCAGAGTGTATCATACTCATTTTATTGATGAAGAAATTGAAACTCAAAGAGGCAAACTGACTTTCCCAAGGTTCAAACCTACAAATTAAAAAACCGAGCCTAAATATATCTTCTGGTTCCAAGGTTAGAATTTCTAGAACATTTTACAACTATTATGAATCCATAAAAATAAAAAATAAAAATATTATCACAAAGAAAGAATTTCTAGGACATTAAAGCTGGAAGGGATACCCCCTACTTATTATATCTTATTTCTTTTTTTTTTTATATCTTATTTCTTTATTGGATAGGTAGGAATTCTGAGGCCAAGGGTGGGGGAGTGACTAATTGACTAATATGAGTGCCTCACAGCTCAGGCTCTACCTCTACAACACTGTCTTGATCCTTACCTCCACATGTGCCCACATCAAAATAAAGTAAATACTTACCAAAGCATTAGAAGAATTATAATCCTCAGCTGACTTATCTGCAGAGGAAGAAAGACAAGGGACTTAGTCAATAAACAATTACAGTTAGTTCTTTCTTGAGACCAAAAGAAGTCTATCTGGTCAAGCACTTGCCAGATTCAGAGAATAATAATAGTGTGAATGGTAATATAGGCTAGATATCATGTTGAACACATTATACATATCACATTCTTTAATCCTCATTATGGCTCTGAGTACTATTATTATGTCTATTTTTATTGATTTGGAAACTGAAGTTCAGAGATGTTAAGTACCGTTGTGTGTCGATTCGCAATGGGGTACGTTCTGTGAAATGTGTCATCAGGTAATTTTGTCATTATGTTAACATCATAGAGTGTACTTATACAAACCTAGATTGTATAGCCTGCTACACACCTGGGCTATATTGTACAGCCTATTGCTTTCTAGACTACAAACCTGTACAGCATGTTATTGCAGGCAACTATAACACAACAGTAAGTATTTGTGTATCTAAACATAAAAAAGGTACAATAAAAAATATGGTTTAAAAGGTAAATAAAAGGATACACCTATATAAGCACTTACCATAAACAGAGCCTGCAGGACTGTAAGTTGCTCTGGGTGAGTCAGTGAGTGAGTGATGAGTAACCATGAAGGCCTAGGTAGGACATTACCAGTGTATACTCAGGCTATGCTACATTTATTTTAAACTTAAGCAATCGCTAGGTGATAAGAATTTTTCAACTCCCTTATAATGTTATCAGACCACCATTGTATATGTGGTCTGTTGTGGTAAATGACTGCTATTTGTCTAGGGTACACACAGGTTAAAGAGAGGAATTAGACTTGAATTCTGGTCTCATTCTAAATACTATGCTAGAACTGGATCCACATCATCAGCTATATCACTGTCAGGCTTAAATGGCCAAGAAAATATGCATTCTAAAAGAAAAGGAAAGAATCCATAGCACCATCCTGAGCCATCCATGTCAAATCATGGCCAGCCTCCAGCTTCAGCTTTCTTAAAGGATTCTTCTATATCCATATCTACTGCTCACAGGGACAGAAGGACTAAGGTTGAGGAAAAGAGTTATTAATCCTGTCAAGTCTAATTAAAGGTAGGGTCTTGTTTTCTAAGAATTGAATCAAGATCCCTCAATGAAGCAATTACCATATTTCATTGATTCTTGGATGTACATTTTTTCACATTAACGTCTCTGAAACAGAGGTGTGTCCTACAATCAAAAGTATGTTATCGTTTAATTGGCAGCTTTATTTTCCTCGATTGGTATATAAATAATAGTGTATCTTACAATCAGTGGCATCTTAGACTTCATAAAACATGAAAGAGAGACCCAATGGAGATCTTAGCAAGAAAATAAGTTTAAAAACCAGATAATGTCTTCAGTTTTGTTCTTTAATTCCTATGGGTCCAAGAAAAACTGACTTCGTCAATTCACCACTAATGGAATTAAGCAGGAGAAATATTCTACCAAATCCAATATATTCCTCATCAAGCCTAGAGAATGTCCAAGATCCCAATTCCATAATATAAAAAAGTGCTAAATACAGCTTATTTGACCCTACAGCAAATCATGAACCCACAAAGAAGGAAATAAGGCAAGCTCTGACAACATGTTCTTATAACAAATCCAGAATAGCTAGCAGTATTCTGGAAAAATTAATTCAGGATATATTTTAAACATAATTCATTTGTTTTTTCTTGTCCAAAAGACTATCAATTTTGGGAGAGTACAACACTATGCCTTCACTGTACTACCCCAACCTTATGTACTGCTAGTATTTTTGAAGATTGGGTATTTTGATAATAAGCATACTTGTTATGTCATATAAAAAACAAGTAAACATTCCCTTTAAAGGTGATGAACAAGTTCTATATATCAAAATCAAACTCTAAAGCACAGAATGAGGGAACAGAAAGTACTTCCAACACTTTGATTTTACAGATGAGTAAAATGAGGTTCAGAAAGGGAAGGAGATTGGTTCAAGGTCACATAAGTCAGTGGCAAAACAGGGCTAAGACCCAGCTGAGTTGTCAGTCTAGTCTACTTTTTCCCTATTACATTAGCTACTAACTGGTATTAAAAAAAAAATTAAGTGTTGAAAAAATACGAAAGCTTGACCAAAAAATTAGCATGAAGGGTTGTACTTGGATTATAGACAGCAAAGGGGTTAAAAGCCCAAGTTTAAAATCCATTTCCATCATGTATCAACTGAGTCACTTGGGGTATGTCATTTAATTACTCTGAGCCTAATTAATTTCTTTGAGTATATAAAATGAGGATAACAGCCCTTGCCCTGCCAATCCCCCAAGGCCATCATAAGAATCACATGAGGGAGCCAGGCTCAGTGGCTCACACCAGTAATCCCAGCACTTTGGGAAGCCGAGGCAGGCAGATCACTAGAGGTCAGGAGTTCGAGACCAGCCTGGCCAACATGGTGAACCATCTCTACTAAAAATACAAAAATTACCCAGGTGTGGTGGTGTCTGCCTGCAGTTCCAGTTACTCAGGAGGTCAAGGCAGGAGAATCACTTGCACCTAGGAGTCACAGGCTTTAGTGAGCCAAGATTGTACTACAGCACTCCAACCTGGGTGACAGAGCAAGACTCCGTCTCAAAAACAAAAAAGAATCACATGAGGTAATTCACATGTGAGCATACACAAATTAAGGTAGTATTAACATAACGAATAGTATGAGAGGATGGCAAACAGGGAAAGGAGATATATGACACCTAAAAACACTTGTGCCAAATACACAATTTTGCCTAGAGTTGGCCCTAGTCTCCAACTTACAAAAAAATTAAAATTCTTGCAAACATATATACATGTGTACAAATTTGTACATACAAAAGTAGATATATGCACATGTATCTATACATATACACTCAATATTATTCATACATGCATGCACAAATGAACATATACATAATTACCTGAATGTGTATATTTATACATATGTTCATTCATGAATACCTGAGTGGACTTTATCTTTGTTCATGAATATTTCAGGGGGCTTTAATTTCAAATATATGCAAATCCACAGGGCTATGCCTCCATATACACAAATACTTACATGCCACTTGCACATATCTATATACATACATGCAAGAAAGATCTTTCCCAAAGACTTAGCCACCGATGCTTTCAAAGACAGCCTCTAATCTGATGTTTCCATGACAAGTTCCTTCAACATAAACTCTAATTTCCTGACTAGAAAACTTTTCCACACAGTAACCCTCCACCCCAATTCTGCCTTGAAATAACTCAGTCCCTCAATGGATGAAGTGAGGCAGACTCAGTGGGCCAGACGAGAGAAAGGAAATACTGCTGGGCACATGCATGGCCCTCTCCTGGGCACCACCATGGCAGCATGAGTGAAGCTGCAATCTGTCATCTCCACCATCTGTGCCCTTGAAACAAGCCAGATACTGGCTGGGAAAAGACCCCTTCAAAATTCGCTAGTTCATCCTGGTTCTCACCTTCCCAATAATACTGCCCTTTGAAGGAGGCAATATAAGTAAAAAGTACTGGACTGGAAATTAAAAGACTAGCCCACCATTAATTTAGCATATTAGAAAGACCTTCTTTGGCGTTCACACCTGCAAAGCAAGGGATAGCTGGTCTGCTGTGGAAGGAAAGCCTCCAAGAAACATTACTAGGGGCAAGTAGTACATTCAAAAGGTGCTGGTATAGGAATTAGGAGACCTGGGTTCTAATCCCAATTCTACGATTAAAAACACTCTGGAAAATATAGTCCCTTCTACCGAGGGCACATCTAAAGAATATTTATTATTATTCACCTTTTTTTTCATTTGACTGATAAAAATTAGTTCCCTGAGGAAGCCATACATTAATGTTATTAAATAACTAATAATAATAACAATAATGATAATGATAGTTACATTTCTATGGTGCTGTTTTACAACTTATAAAAAACTTTCATATCAATCAGCTCACTTATTTCTCACTATAACTTCTTTTTTTTTTTTTTTTTTTGAGACAAGGTTTCAGTCTGTTGCCCAGGCTGGAGTGCAAGTGACGTGATCCCTGCTCACTGCAACCTTCACCTCCCAGGCTCAAGCGATTCCTTCACCTCAGTTTCCAAAGTAGCTGGGACCATAGGCATTTTCCACCACACCCAGCTAATATTGTATTTTTTGTGGAGACAGGGTTTTGCCATGTTGCTCAGGCTAGTCTCAAACTCCTGACCTTGAGCTATACTCTGGCCTTGGCCTCCCAAAGTATTGGGATTACAGATATGAGCCACTGCACCCAGCCATTTCCACTACAGCCTCTTGAGATAGGAATTATTATTCCCATTTTGAGGTGCAAGAAACTGAAGTGACTGTTAGAACCTAATAAGTGTCAGAATCTAGACCTTCTAGCACAAAGCCTGTGTTCTCTATATATAATACCATGCTATTTTTTAAAAAAAACATGTGCAGTGTCAGAGTGAAGACTCAAGTTTGATGCAAAGTCCATTATCTTGGCTGTCAAATTCCAAAATTCCACATTAGTTAAAGTGCCATTTCCACTCTTTCCACTACTTTCTTCTCTCACCCCAAACCAATAGGCATGTGAGCTTTCCCACCCAGATAAAAACCATCTCTTTCTGAGACTGCCCTGAACACAGTTCTCATACCTGTAAAGCTCATGTATTTCTGGCTGTTGGATGTCTTCTTTGAGTTATAAAACTCCAACACATCCAGAACAGCCTGTGGGTTTTTCTTCTGCTCCGACTTAGTGATATTTGATGTCTGAAGCAAGCGGGCCCACTGCTCTGGCATTCCCTATAAGAAAGACATGCAAGGCTGACAGGAAGGCACAGTCACAGGGGACCCTGAAAGAACATCAGAGTTAACTCTGACACTTGCTAGCAGCAAAAGATGCATTTGTTAGTCATTTCTTTCTCTCTATGCCCTCATAGTTTACACAAGTCTCTTTTACAATACCTTTCTCATTTTATTAGTCATTTCTTAAGATGTCTGCTTCTTCACCAGGCTATACCTCCAGGATGGTGGGACAGGATGTTGTTCTTGCATGATCAGTGCCCCACACAGAGCCTGCTACCAAGCCTGCCATTTAATAGAGGTTTATTTTAGGAATGGAGATGGAAAGGCTTCTCTGGATACAATTTTGGAGACGAAAGTGTCCCTCTCATGAACGTAAGAAAAATGTAATCAGGGTCTCAGGCAAAGAGAGACCTGAACATCAGGAAGATGCATCAGGAAGATGAGAAGGGGTTGAATCTAACAGTACACAGAAAGATGAGAACGGGTTGAATATAGCAGTGCATAGCCAGAACTCTAAAAGACTAAAGGCCTTTCTGTGACCCAGGACGTACCGTAAACTCCCCTGTGACAGCATCAAAACCGACATGAATTGTGTGTTCAAAATCTGAAGGAAGAGAAATCTCTGGCCGCTCTTTCTCTTTCTTTTTATTTGCTGCAAGAGAAACAGAGAAAAGGAAATAAAAAACAGGAACATCATTGTTTTAAGGCTTATTTTAGCGCTTTATTGAGCTGTAGTCTCCTTTAGAGGGCAAAGTCTATCTATTAATATTTCACATATATAGAAGAGCCCAATTATGGACCCAGATTGGAGCAGATACTCAATGCATGTTTAAGGACTTAATTTCTTGTTGAATTAAAGTAAGGGAGATGGCCAGGCGTGGTGGCTCATGCCTGTAATCCTAGCACTTTGGGAGGCCAAGGCGGGCAGATCGCTTGAGTCCAGGAGTTCAAGCTTAGCCTAGGCAATGTGGCAAACCCTGTCTCTACACAAAATACAAAAATTAGCTAGGCATGGTGGTGCATGCCTGTAGTGCCAGCTACTTGGGAAACTGAGGCAAGAGGATCATTTGAGCCCAGGATGCAGAGGTTGTAGTGAGCCAAGATCACACCATTGCACTCCAGCATGGGTGACAGAGTGAGAACCTGTATCAAAATAAATAAATAAAATAAAATAAAGTAGGGAGAGGCAAAAAGAACATCTGTCAGTGTTCACAGTCCTGGTTTTACCAGTAACTAGCCAGGTGATATAGGGTAAGTCATCTTTTTTAGGAAGTCCTCCTTGATCTCTAGGTTGGGTGGTTCTTTACCCTCTCTGTTCCCACAGTACCCAATATACGTAATAGTCATTGCCTATTATAAGTGTTTATCTTCCACAACAGACTGAATTCTAAGTGCAGGGGCCATGTCAAATTAATCACAGCTTCCCAAGGGATAGCACACACCTGGCACAAAGTAGGTGCTCAGATAGTAAGCGAAGAAAGGAACAAATGACAAGACATTTACCTCAACTGGGCAGGGAGTTTAAGGAATCTGCCTAAGACGCACAAATTCTGTCCAGGGCAGGAATAAACGTTCATTTCAGCAGCTCTGGCCTGACTTTCACACTTGTTACCCAGCCCCTGTCAACCTTATTTTAAAACCCTGATGTTTTTAAAACACAGGAGCTCAACACACTAACCAAAAGAAATTCTGAAGTTCTAAAACCTCCACAGACTTAGCATAACCCTGATAAAAGGTAGCAAAATGAGAAGGAAAAACAAAAAAGGTCTAGAGTTCAAGCCAGTTTAACCTCTACCTCACCACAGTGCATACCCACATACACACACACACACACACACACACACAGAGATATATATATGCAGGATCTCTGCTTTCTCATTTAAACAATGGGGAGGACAAGCTAGATGATCTTAAGGGTCCCTCCAGCTTCCACATTCTGTGAGTCTATGAAAACAAGAAGCTATGACTTCTCAAAGCTCTGCAGTTAAGATTCCTTCCTGAAAAGGCATCCTACAGTTTTAAATAGGTATTTTACACATATCATCTAATACAATCACCACAATCCTGAGGCAGTTTTTACTTGCAGATTAGAAAATTTCGGAACAGACTTGCCTACAGTCATTAAGTAATTAAAATCGAAAAAGTCTGGCATCCAAGCCATGGTCCTTTACATTCTATTTTATCTCCTCTAAAAAATTTCAAGTTGAATCAGGAAAACATACTTCAGTGTAATAAGAAGAAATGACATTAAGAACTTGAGATGTATACATACCATGACATCAACATAGTATTTTTCTTCATTCTTACAATCCTATGAGATAGATATTACTATTGTCATTCTTACAATGTTATGAGAAAAATACTACTAATGTCATTTTACAGATGAGGAAACTAAATAATTTACTCATACAACTACTGAGAGCTGGGATTTGAACCCAGGTCTGATTCCAAAGGTTCATTCTTCAGTTTCTTAATGAGAACCATTTGCCTACATGCCAAGTGCTAGGGTTTAAGCTATTTATGCACTTGGCAATTTCCCTCTCACAAGCAGCTGCTTTGAGAAAAGGAAGGCTAAGGGGTATACCAGGGCCCCAAGTCAAGCAGCCATTTATGACGTAAGTCCATCTGTCTTTCTCATAGCCAGAATGCATGGAACAAGTGGCAGGGCTTTGGAACTGCTTTTAAATTCCCTCTGATCTAGTCACTTTAGAGAAATACAATTATATTCGTGTTTTATTTAGATTTTAATTTTTTATATCTATGTATGTTTATATATTTTTATTATATATAATTAATATACTATATAATACATTACAGGCATAAACTGTCAAATGCAGAAGAAACTTTGGTAAAGGAGACCCAAAAAGAAAGTTAGCTCAAAGCATGAGCAGTTCACAGAAAAGAGTTCTAGAGAAATGAAATCATTTAATACATGAACACACAGGGTAATGCTAAAGTCAGCTCTGCTTCCACTGGGCACTCTTTACTCTGCAACCTTTGAATATACCTCAAATAGTCCCACTTTCAAGTTTTTGCTCACTTTTTCATCTCCTTGTTTGGAATGCTCTCCTCTCCTTCTCTCTATCTCAGCCATCTTTTAAAGATTGGCTCAGGTCCCACTTTTTCCAGGAAGGATTTCCTGACCTTTCTTCTTCCTGTTAATTCCCAAGGCCTTGAGTCTGCTACACCACCAAGCATCTAGTCATTTCCTGTCTTACATGATTCCATGCTAATTTAAAAATCCAAAGTGAAGGTTCTTGAGGACCAAAATTACCACTTCTAATTACAATCATTATACTTCTGAATTTCAATCTAGCACAGGGTTTACTTAGTTCAAGAACACTCTAGAAAATATTAGGGAGTGGCCGGGCATGGTGGCTCACATCTGTAATCTCAAAACTGGGAGGCTGAGGTGGATGGATCACTTGAGGACAGGAGTTCAAGACCAACCTGGTCAACATGGCGAAACTCTTGTCTCTCCTAAAATTACAAAAAATAGCTGGGTGTAGTGGCACGTGCCTGTAATCCCAGCTATTCAGGAGGCTGAAGCATGAGAATAGCTTGAACCAGGAGGCAGAGGTTGAAAAGAGCTGAAATCCCACCACTGCATTCCAGCCTGGGTGACAGAATGAGACTGTGTCTCAAAAAAATAAAGAATTAGGGAGTGACTCTAGAGACCATGTAATCCCATTCCCGGAGGAAAGAGGCCCAGAGAAGTAAGTTGACTTGTCCTGATTCACAGAGCACATGATTGTAGTTCAGGTGATCAAGTCTTTCACTCTTGATTATATCCCTGATCCCTACTGAGATTTGACTGGAATCAACTACCTACTGAAATAACAGTTTTTAGCATAGATGATTAGATGTGGAGTACAAGAAGGGCAATGGCTTGGCTGAAGTGGGAGAGGAGAGAAGTAAAAAGAAAGAGGAAATAAATCTAGGTGGCAGGATTTAGTTTGGGTACTGTGTAATTTTTTGTTTGTTTGTTTGAGACAGTCTTACTCTTGTTGTCCAGGCTGGAGTGCAATGGCACAATCTCAGCTCACTGCAACCTCCGCCTCCCATGTTCAAGCAATTCTCCCTCCCGAGTAGCTGGGATTACAGGCACCTGACACGACACCTGGCTATTTTTTGTATTTTCAGTAGAGACAGGGTTTCACCATGTTGCCCAGGCTGGTTTTGAACTCCTGACCTCAAGTGAGGAGGAGACCCACCTCTGCCTCCCAAAGTGCTGAGATTATAGGCATGAGTGACCACGCCCAACCTGGTACTGGGTAATATTTAGACTGAGTATTCACCAGCTGGGGATCATCAGCAGAAAACAGGATTCCAGAAGCAGGAATACAAGAGAGAAATGGAGAAGTCATGCAGTTCCAGAGCCACCTGGAACCCAATTAATCCCTTCTTGGAAGTAACAATCATCCCCTTCACATGTGTAGAGTCCTTCATCAAGCTCTGCCACAGTCACTGTCTCACTGGCTCATCACCACAAACCCAGGAGCTACACAGCTGAGGTCAGGGAATTAAAAGAAATCTCTGTCAGTGGAAAGAATCTCAGAGGAAGGAGGATTCAGTATTATTTTTGCCATTAACTCACTGGGTGATCCTGGGAAAGTCTCTGAGAGTTTCAAGTCTTCAATCTGCAAAATAAGACAATGGGATATGCTCTGTGTACAGATGAAGGTAAGAAATAAACCACCTTTCTGGAGAAGATAATACCTGAAAGAAGTCATGAAGGATGAAGACAAGTTAACCAGACTGAGACAGGAAAGGGCATTTCTGAAAGAAACAGAATAAGCAGAGGCCAGGAGAAGTAAACAGTGTGATCTTTCTCCCAGCTTTCCACCTGCTCAGCAAGTCAACCAAGCTTCATAAACTCTAACCAGATTCACAAAGCACATGATTGTAGGCAGGAAGGCGCTATGAGCTTCAGACTGAGGGAAGACACAAAGGAGAAAATAAAGCAAACCCAGGATCCTGATGGTTCCATATCCCAAGGCTATAGTATCTGGGACCACTGCTGCTGTAGCAAATTTTTTATGATGACTAGAAGTATGTCTGCGGGAATCTGATGAAAACTTACGTCTACACAAAAACTTGTATGTGAATGTTCATAGCAGCTTATTCATAATAGTCAAAAAGTGAAGGTAACCCAAATGCCCCTCAAGTGATCAATAAAATGTGGTATATCCATATACTATTATTCAGCCATAAAGAGAAATGAAGTACCAATTCATACTACAACACAGATGAATCTTGAAAACATTATGCTAAGTGAAAGAAGCCAGTCAAAAAGGGACATAAACTGTATAATTCCATTAATATGAAATTTCCAGAATAGGCAAATCCATAGACAGAGAGTAGATTAGTGGTTGCCAGGCGAGACGGGAGAAATGAGGAATGATTGCAATGAGTATAGAATTTCTTTCTGGAGTGATGAAAATGTATTGGAATTAGTTGTAAGGGCTATACAATCTTATGAATATACTAGAAACCATGAAGTTGTACATTTTAAGATGGTGACTTGTACGGCATGTGAGTTATATCTCAATTTTAAAAAAGTGAATGTAATTTAACATATTAAGAAAATAAAGGAGAAAATATATATAACCAATTCAATTAATGCAGATTAAAGCATTTGCTGAAATAATT